TTTGTTTTTTTTGCCATAGGGCGCATGCCCTCACCAGAGAAGAAAAATACAGAGTGAGACAGAGAAAGCGAGAAATCACTATGCCCAAGGGGGATGGTCATGCCACAATCCCTTCTCCTCCATTCTCCTCTTGGAATTTTAAGCATGCACACATACATGCACCCAGCATTACTTTCAAGCCACCAGGTCCGGGGCCTGAATTGTAGTCAACCATGTGGGAGTCCAGTACCTTAACCACTATGCCACCTGCTGGCCTGGGAAGCAGCCTTTGCTGCAGAATTCTACTGAATGGGATGCTCCCTCCTCTGGTGCCACTGTGCCGGCATCCACCTCCATTATATTGGGTCTGGAAAGTCATGACTCATTTTTACATAGAAAAATATGTCACGGCTGGATGAGCAGTTGGCAAAATGGCAATGTTGCTGGACTCCCATGTAGTCCACCATGGTTCGAGTCCTGGAGCCAGTGGCTTAAACTCACGCCAGGCATGTGTGCGTGCGTGTCCAAGATTCCAAGAGGAGAATGGAGGAGAAGGGATTGCAGAGTGGAGCGTGGCCATTCCCCCTGGGGGGCGATTTCCTACTTTCTGTCTCTGTCTCTCTCTGTCTTTCTGGCGAGTGCATGCGCCCTATAGCAAAAACCTCTCAAAAAAAATGTCATGGGGGCTAGCAGGTGGCATGGTGGTTAAGGACGCTGGATTCCCACATGGTCAACCACAGTTCGAGTCCCGGACCTGGTGGCTTGCTTTCTCACTCCCCAGCCACCGCTGCCCACCAGCTCTATCCCTCTCTGGTCAAATTAAAAATAAATAAAGTTAAATAAAATAATTCTTAAAAAAAAAAAAGAAAAATACGTCATGACTTTCCCAACCACCTAATAGCTCCAGTCAGGTTATTGCTGTTGATTTCTCTCTGACCTAAAAGATTGTCTCAACACATAGTAGGTGCACAGTCAATGCACCTCAGCTGAAATAATGATGTGCAAGTGGCTAGAACCCTAAATGGATCCCAAGTTCTGGAGCACAGGGTGGATTCTGCAGTGAGGCCAGAATTCTTTCCACTGTACCCCCCAATATCCTCATTGGGTCCACCCAGAGAGCGAGCCCTGGAAACTTCTCTACCCAGAACTTTGTCCTTTTCCCCTTCTGTTGATAGCCACCTTTCCTCTGCCCACTCCTTTCCACCAGCGATAGAAAAGGGGGCCATGGGCTTGGCTCCAGGAAGGGAGACTTGGCTGGGATTCCCAGCTGGCAAGCTGGGCAGCCCGTGTGCCATGGCTGTCTGCCTGGCAACTGTGCCAAAGGGATGGAAGTGGTGGCCCCTCTGGCCTCCAGGAGGCCAGCAGGCAGCAAGACGGAGAGAGAAACAGAGAGGGGGATGTTTGGGCACAAAGCTAGCCTTGGTGTGCCAGCCGGGAGGCCAGAGCCCTGTGGTGTCTGCCAGGCTGAATGGCTCGGCTCTTTCCAAACCCAGCTTCCTGGACAGCAGCACTAAGGGCTCCTTTGTGTGTCTCTGAGAAGGGCCAGGGGCCCCAGATGCCTGAGTGCTGGAGCAGAGGCAGGGCCACGGAGACAATTAATTAGAATGTAAACACCAGCCCAGGGCAGGCTGTGGCCATCCAGAGCTGAACATGGAGGCAGGTGAACCACATACTGTTCTGCTCAGCGGCCTCAGACAGAGAGCACGTGGGGTTCCGGGGGGGAGCAAAGTTACCCTCGCAGTCTGAAGCCAACTCACTTCCTATCTCTGAGCCTCAGTTTCCCCATACTCGAAGGGGGAAGTGAGAATACATACTCCCTAAGCAAGACAAGGTTCTTGGTCCAAAACAAACTAACAAGCCAGAGACTTGCATCCGCAAGGCCCTGCCATGTCAGTGTGTTGGAACTGGGCTAGCACTTCATGGGCAGCGTCATGTTCATCCTGACCCCACCCTCTGAGGTGACGATAACTACTGTCCCACTTTCCAGTGGGTCCCCAGCTGTAAGTAGCACAAACAGAACTTGAACCGGTGGCTCTGGCTGCCGAGCCCTAATGGCCCGCAGCCTCCTGCTGCTCTGAGCCCTGCCCTGGCCGCTCGGCTGTGCCACGGGCTTGTCCGCCAGGCCAGTCATGGAACTAGGGTTAGAAGGATTGGAAAGCCTGGTGGGCCAGGGCAAGCTCCCACCTCGTCTCCCTGCAACGCCCTGGTCACCTCTCCTCTGAATGGCCGGCTGACGCTGCTGGTCCCCTCTTGCAGTGGGAAGCACACCCTCTCCTGGGACAGTCGTCCCATCTTTGGGTAGCTGCAGTCACTTGGAAGGACTTCCCTATACAGAGCTGAAACCTGCCTCCTCTCAGCCCTTCTTCCATGCTTGGCTCTAGAAGGAGGACTCTCTCTCCTGCATCAGATGAAGACATCAGCCGTGCCCCCGCCTCCCGAGGCCGTTAGTTCCATAGTAATCCTCACAGGATAAGATCCCAGGTCTCTCTTCTTTCCAACCTATGCCTTTCCCTCTGGTCTTGTTGCCAAGAGCCACCACTGCAGGGTACCAGATGCCCCTGGAACAGAATGTTCCCAGCACTGGGGCAGCCCCAACTCCACCCACTGACTCCCTGGCTGTAGGCCCCAGATCCCAAGGGAGTGGAAAAGCGGGAAAGAATGACATGCCACCTGGGGTAGCTGTGGCCACAGGGCAGAATAGGGACCTCTGCCAAATGGCTTGATGCCTGCCCACTCCAGAGACACCTGGCTTGGCTCCCCAAACCTCATCTGGCTCAGCCCGGCCAGGTATTCCCATGCCTGGAGAGGCCCTTTCCCCATCTCCCCACCAGCTATCTTTCTGGTGCCCGGCTGCCCTGGGGCCCATTCCTGGGCATGGGGCAAAGCTGCCATGTTCCCTGGCACACTGCTCTGTCTGGATCCTCTTCTCTCCCAGCGCGCCTGGAGCTTGTGGGACTTGGAGTCTGGACACCAGGCCTGTTCTTCTGAACCCCTCCAGAGGCAGGGCCCGGCCTGCCCCTTTCCTCCCACCTCCCCACACCCTGGGCGGCCCCTTCTCTCCTTAGTTCCCCAGAGCATCCCCTAAAAGGGCAGCAGGCAGCTGGCAGTGGGTGGTGACGGACACAGCACAAACTGACTCAGATGGCGAAGCTGGCATGGCAAGGTCCTCCCAGGGATGACACCAATGGGGTGATGGACAGGCCCTCTGTGGCAGGATAGGGTAGGGACCCAGAGAGGAGGGAGACCCCTTAAGAGGGTTGCTGAGTAGTTTGGGTGCAGGGCTGACAGGAAATGCCCAGGGAGCACCAAACATTCATAAATACGCCTGGGATATTGGCCTCACTGGCCAATGGGCATCAACCCCTCTTCTGCCTCACACTGAGCTGGGTGGGTAGCAACTGACTCCCTCTTTCCATGCCCCTCCCAGCTTGGGGACACAAATCCTTCAGACCAGGCTGAGGTAGGGGCATGGAAGGAGACCGGCGAGGACCCTAACTTCTTTCTCTGCCCACCGTTTGCCCTGCCCAATCCCCTGACCCGACCTACAGCCCAGCCTGGACTTTATTGCTGAGTTCTTCAGAGGGGTGCGGCTAGGGGAGGGGGCCAAGGACTCCAGCTGGCCTGGCATGGGGTGTCGACATGGGAGGGTCCTTGGCTGGGAGGAGGCAGTGCAGAGCACCAGGTCTGAGCGCCCCCTGCCTGCCCAGCTGACCCAGCAGCCTGCCGACTGCTGAGGCAGCAGTGCCACAGCTCCGGCGCTCCAGAGCCCTCCTGAGAGGGCCGAGGGTGCAGGCCTTGGTGGGAAGCAGGACACGGCCACGTGGCTGCTGGGAAGTAAGCTGGAGCTCCGCAGTCTGCCCAGGGTGACTGGAGGGCAACCGCGGTCACTGGGACTCGGGTGGGCTCAGCTCCTGGGACCCTCTGTGTGACAGAAGGTGTCATAAATATTCCAAGCAAAATTCTCCCACCCCATCCCTTCCCTAGGAGAGATGTGGCTCCCTCAGGGGGGAGTTACTTCTGGACTGAGAGGCTGGAGCCTCTTTTCCAGAAGGGGCAAGAGAAGGTCAAATGTGCATCTGAAGACCAGCTGAGTCCCCTGGTCCAGGGATTAGGAGCTACCTGGGGTGCCTGAGCCAGTTTTCGCCCTGGCCCTGCTCCTCTCCCTCCCACTTCCTTGATGACCTTGACCTTGAGTTAACCTCCCATCCCAGTGGTGGTCAAGATGGAATGAGGAGGGGGGAGAGGGGGACCGATACAGAGGAGCTAGTGGTACCAGCGAGCCCCAGACCCAGCCACTTCTCATCCTAGCGCCCCCTTCTCTGGGTAACAGGAGCAGGCTGGGAACAGAATACCGAGGTGGAACGGAGGGAAGGAAGTCTTAGCCTCAAGTCTGGGGAGGGGGCAGGGAGCAGCCAGGGCACAGCCTTTTCTCCCCTTCCCCAGGCTGGCTCAGGTTGCTTCCTGCAGAACTTCTTGCGGGTCAGCCAGAGCACCTAGAACTTGGGGAGAGAGCAGACAGATTGGGGGAGGGGGGCGTTGACTGAGTGCGAGGGCCTCCCCCCACCGGTTCCAGTGCTTGGAGTCTGAGCTCCGCCCGCCTTCACTGGGGGATAATTTATTCATTGTGACTCCCGCAGGAGTCACAATCATACATAATTAGGGTTAATTATGACATTCATTAATTACGATGACTTCTCTTTTCGCTTCTGCCCCCCCGCATCCCCTCGTCCTGCTCATGGGGTGGGGGGTGGGGCTGCCGGTCTTTCTGCTCAGGCGCCGCAACAACAGCCCCTCGGTCCCCGCCCGCGACGGTCGGCCCGCGCTGCCGCAGCCCCCAGCGCGGACTCGGAAGCTGCGCACCCCCGGCCTCGGCCTCACGTCCCCGAGCCCTCCCGGATTGGGAGGGGGGAATCGGGACTGCAGTGGGTCAGAGACACCCCGAGACTTAGAGATAAACACATAGAGACTCCGGCAGAAACGGGAAGGCACGCACGCAGAGACACCAAGATAGAGACAGGTTATAGAGACGTTTTCACAGAGACACAGGCAAAGAGAGGGACCGGCTGAGCTAGAAAGACCCGGCGGCCACCGGAGGGGGTGCGCCTCGCACGCACACACGGGCGTGCACACCGGCCCACACCCGCTACACATCGCTACACACTCCCTCCACCTTCGCTGCGCCGATTCCCTCCAACAAAGCCGAGTTACAACCTCCCTGGAGGGTCGCGATGGCGCGTCCGCTCCTGGCGCGAACGCGCGGCGTACGTGTGATTGGGAGGCTCGTGGTGGTCCCTCGTCGCCAACCCACTCCTCCCCGTGGGTCGTGGCGCGCAGCCTTAGGAATCACACGGGCCTCGCTGCCATGACCCCGGAACGCCCGAACCCACAGTGGCGGCCGCACCTGAAGCAGGGAGCCCCGGCCGGGGGGCGCACCCGGCGGGGGCCAGGTCTCGTGCCCCCAGAGTTACCTTGGTTTCCTGGAGGGTGGAGACGGTCCCCGGCGGGGTACGGGTGGCCGCGTCATCCGGTTCGTTTTCCTTCTCGCTCATTTCGGTCATGGTTGGGGGAGAGGAGAAGAGAGGGCGCCAAGATCCGACGGCAAGCCGGCTGGGCGCAGGGTGTGGGTCTCTCTCGGACCCTGAAGCCCTTCTCCGGAGAATGCCTCCCAAAGAACCCCAGGAGGAACCTTCCTTCCCTGGCAAAGCAGCCCCCTCCCCCCGGGCGCGGGCGGAGAAAGTTCCGGGCTGGCCGGGGAAGGGGAGGCAATTGCACCGGGCTGCGAGAGCGGGACGACCCCAGGCGTGAAGACCGAGGGTCTGCAGAGGATGCTGCCTGGAGCGAGGGGAGGAGGGAAGTCGGGACGCCGGGATGAGCCGAGGGAGGGAGCGGCAAGGCTGTCTGTGTCCGGCCGGCTCCGCCGTCCTCTGCGCCCGCCCCCCATCCCTCCTCCGCCCAGTCCTCGCCTCCCAACTTTGATTTAGGAGGTCGCCTGGTCCCTCCCCCTTCCCTCCGCCGTTCCCCCGCGCCGCTATGCAAATCAGGTCCTCAGCTATTGGCTGTCGCGGTGGCCAGGAGGGCTAGCTGGGCGGAGCCTTGGGGGGCTCGACAAGGTGGGGAGGGGCTTGGAGGGTAAAGAAGCCGAAGGGACAGTTTCACACTTAAACCCGGGATGGAGAGCGCTAGGTTGGGGGAAAGCGAGGCAGATCACGGTAGGGTCCGGATGGGGTTGCGGGAAACAGAAAAAGGTTGGAACTGCAGCAGGATAGCTGAGGGCGAGACCGAAGTTAGGACTTCCTGATGGTGAAGATTGGAAGATGCCAGATGAAGAATGTGGACCAGTCCGCCTCATTAACCGACTTCCTCTCTGCGCCAAGAAGCTCTCTCCAGATATACACACCCCTGGAATATAGTGCGGGGGTTTCCTGAAGAAGGAGACAACTTACCGTGTCAAAGGCCAAGCTAGACAATGCGTCCTATCTTGGACGAAAAGCAGGACACCTGTGTTCCTTTCCAGTCTTGGCATCTGGACTTCAGCAGGGAAAGGGCCTCAGTCCTCACATCTTAAGTCCCCAAGCCTCTGGAAGACACATCCCCAGCCCTAAAGATTTACCACAGTTGGAGTTAGATCAGGGACCAGGTAGATGGATGGGGTGGGGGGATTCTCACCCTCCAAAGTGTCCTCTCTCCACTGTGGTCTAGAGATACCTCTTCTAATGTATGCTGATTACTCCCGGGACCCACTTCCCAGAGAGTGCTCCTCCCTCACCTCCAGCCCCCTCTCTATCTGCTGCTTTAAAACAATTTTTTTTTATTCAACTTTATGCATTTTTAAAATTTTATTTCAATTTGACTTGAGAGAGACAGAGAGAGAGTGAGAGAGAGGGCAAGTGAGAAAGCCAGCTGTCAGGTCCGGGACTCGAACTATGGTCAGCCATGTGGGAGTCCAGCACCATGCCACCTGCCGGCCCCTCTATCTGCTTCTATCTCTGAACAACAGGCCCAGCTTCAACTCTTGGCCTGTCCAAGGAAGGAGAGATAGGCGTGTCTGAGAGAACCCCTTCCTGGGTGTGGGGGGAGAGACTTCTGGGTTTAAGGCTTCCTTCTCCTCCACTGTGGGTGGTAAGATGGGGAAGTGCTGCCAGGGCTTCCTGGGGTCATGAAGGGGGTCCTGCCTTTATGCTAGCCCTAGAGGGCAGGGACTGAACACCCTCTGTACCCCACGCACATAGCCATTCACCCGGTCTCTGTCCTCCCAGGGATGAGCTCACCATTGGAGCACCGCTCAGGTTACTGTGTCCAAGAATAGAGATTTATTTGCCAGTGGCAGAAGTAGGACAAGGGCAGACGTGAGGGTTTGTGGCTATGGGGGTTCGGTCCCCTCCCCCTCCAGGTCCACCCGCTGTAGCTGCAGACTCCCTCAGACCCTTAGCTTTCCTGAAAGGAGCTGGGATGGAGCCTGAACTCAGCCCTCAAACCGGTACCCCAAGGTCCCATGCACTGCCTGCCTTCTCCCCTCTGAGGACAGTCCTTCTCCTGTCCAGGCCAGCCTAACTTCTCATCCCCGGGTTTGGGGATCCTTAGGGTCTAAGACCTGTATAGTCACTAACTGCGTGATCTTAGGTCACTAAATACTTCAGAGCCTTGATTTGCTGGTCTGCAAAGTGGCGATGATGTCTACACCGCTGTTGGAGCAGATGAGGCAGTGCGGGAGGCAAGGAAAGCGCATTTTCCCTTCTCTCTCCTGTCTTCTGGGAGAGTCGTCCCTTACCATTGCTTTCTCTGAGGCAGAGAGAAGAAAAGAGCTTCCTCCTCTCACTTTCCTTGGCCATTTGGACCTGGTATTCCATGGGGACACCAAACCCAGAAGCAGCAGTTATCCATGGACACAGCGATCCTGACTTGACGTGGGGACAAATTCCCAAGGGAATCTGGTGCTGGTGACCAGAGAAAGACAGGAAAGTGGGTGGACCCTGTGGCCCATCTGCTGTGGGCATCAGAAGCTTGAAGTAGGGTGAATGTGGAGGAGGTAGGGGACTGGATCCCGTGACCTCTGGATGTCCTTTCTGGCCTGCAGCCTCTGTGTTTCCAAGCGGTCTTTCATGAACTCAGTCTGAGTCATTGCTCTCAGAGCTGACAATCCCCGCTGCAGTGGCTCAGAGACCAGGCAGAGCCGCCAGGCCAGCTTCTCCAGGGGATGGAGGAAGGAACATTAGTCCGTCTCAGATCTGGGGGTCAGAAAGGAGGGGTGGGCACGACGACGGAGGGTACTACAGCAGGGTAAACGGGGTCACCCCCTAGAAGGGCTTCCTCGGCAGTGGTAATCAGGGCCAGCCAGCGGTGTGATGGTTAATGCCACTGGATCTCTCCTGGTTGACTGTGTGGTTAGAGTCCTGGACCCAGTGGCTTACAAACACTCCAGAGGCAGGCCAGCAGGTGATGTGATAGTTAAGGCGCTGGACTCCTCCATGGCTGACCGTGGTTCAAGTCCCAGAACTGGTGACTTGAGACTCATACTGGGCACATGCATGTACGTATCCAAAGTTCCAAGAGGAGAATGGAGGAGAAGGGATTACGGCATGGCCATCCCTCCCAGGAGGTGATTTCTCGCTTTCTGTCTCTGTCTCTCCAGTGAGCGCACGCGCACTATAGCAAAAATCTCTCAAAACAAAAGAAAAGAAAACATGCCGAATGCATGTGCATACATGCACAAAATCCTGAGGAGAATGAAGAAGGGATTGCAGTGTGGCCATCCCCGCTTCCGCTGGAGTGCACTCACCCTGTAGCAAAACTGAAAGAAGGAGAAAAAGAAAGAGAGAGGAAAGAAAGAGAAAGAAGGAGAAAAAAGAGAAAGAAAAGGAAGGAAACAGCCCAGTTCCCATCCTTGTTCTGCCCATTTCTTCCTGTTCTGTGACCTTGGGCAGGGAACTATCCATCTCTGGAGGGACTTTGGGTTCTTTCCTTTTAGATTGGCAGAATTGGATTAGGTTAGGCTAGAATGAAGAGTTGGATTAAAATGGGAGGAATCGTGATCTATCTCTTAGTGTTCTTTTGAGGATTAAATGAGTTAATATATGTAAAGAGCTGGACAGAGTAAGTGCACAGTAAATGGATGTCATTGTTCTTTGGGATTCTTTCCTTACTTCTCTCATAAGCAAGAGAGATGGAGACAGCACCTCAACAGGGTCTTTATTTATTTATTTTTTTAAAGAATTATTTCATTATTGGGACCAGCAGTTAGCATAATGGTTATGTTGCTGAACTCTCATGTAGTCGACTGCAGTTCGAGTCCTGGACCCAGTAGCTTAAACTCACGCCAGGCACATGTGCGTGCATGCCTGAGAAGGGATTACGGTGTGGCCATCCTCTCTGGGGGGGTGACTTCTCACTTTCTGTCTCTCTGTCTCTCTCTGTCTTTCTGGCGAGTGCACACACCCTATAGCAAAAACCTCTCAAAAAAATAATTATTTCATTATTATTATTATTTTTCAATTTTGACCAGAGAGAAACGCGCACACACACACACACACACACACACACACACACAGAGAGAGAGAGAGAGAGAGCGAGAGAGCAAGCTGTCAGGTCCAGGACTTGAAACCATGGTCAGCCATGTGGGAATCCAGCGTCCTTAACCACTATGCCGCCTGCTGGCCCCTTAGAGGATGTTAATACCAAGAACTACCCCACTTGAGCCAGCCTCAGATTACAGGCACACCCCGCCACCCACTATATTCAGGAAGGTCTCTAGACTTGAACCAGGAATCTCCCCTGGTGGGATTGCCTCATAGAGCTCTCAATTTTATTGCTGCACCACCATTCTTGATGAATCTTTTATTTTTTTTAGTTTTTTTTTTAATTTTTTTTCCTATAGGGCATGTGTGCTCAACACAGAGAGACAAACAGAAGGTGAGAAATCACACTCCATGCTGCAGTCCCTTCTCCTCCATTCTCCTCTCAGAATTTTGGGCACACATGCACATGTGCCTGGTGTGAGTTTCAAGCCGCTAGGTCTAGGACTTGAACCACAGTGGGCCACATGGGAGTTCGGTATCTGTTTTTTTTTTTTTTTTTTTTTTTTGCTATAGGGCACATGCACTTGCCAGAGAGATAGAGAGAGACAGAAAGCGAGAAATCAGCCCCAGGGGAGATGGCCATGCCACAATTCCTTCTTTATTCTCCTCTCGGGATCTTGGGCATGGAAGCACACACACCCTATGTGAGTTTAAGCCACTGGGTCCAGGACTCGAACTGTGGTTAACTACATGGGAATCTAGTGATGTAGCCATTACACCAATTGCTGGTCCCGTGAGTTCAGTGTCTTAACCACTATACCACCTGCTGATCTCAGGTGAACCTTAACCTTGGGCTTAGGGGTGAGCTTTGAGAAGTTCTTGATGGAGAATCTAGAGCCTTCTTCTGTTTTTCAGAGAATCAGAATTCCCCAAAAGATTAAAAACCATCGACCTTGGACTAGCATATGGTATGGTGGTTAAGGTGCTGGATTCTCTTATGATCAACCTCGGTTTGAATCCCAAACCCTATGGCTTGACAATCAGGCCGGCCACATACGTGTCCTCAGAATCCTGAGAGGAGAATGGAGGAGAGGATAGTGCAGTGTGGCCAGAGCTCCTGGGGGGCGATTCCTCACTTCCCCTCTCTCTGTCTCTCTCCAGCTAGCACACGGGCCCTATGGCAACAACCTAAAATCAAAAAAGAGCCACTGGCCTAGATGACCTCAAGGGCCCCTTCCCTCTAAATGGTTCAGATTCCTGATGTAAGAAATTGCTTTTCCTCAGGAGTGACATATTTTTCTCTCATGAACGCCTCCAGTCCAAGCCCTTCTCTGCCATGGCCTCTGCCCCATGGACGGCTGAGGACGGCCCTAACTGAAAACAGGAGTGGCAGGCCTTTCCTGCAGCTTTCGAATCCGGGC